TCCCGTCATCTCGCCATCATGAAGATTTTATAGAAATACGGACATGAATAATCGATACAACATAACGCCGACAGCAGGGCGTCGCATATCTCTAAATAAAACGAAGCACGCCAGTCTTACTGGCATCTTCTTGTTTCAAATTCTGTGTTACTTTCATACCAACAGGCTTATACAAATGTAACGTTGTGCTGTTCTTTTTCTTAGTAAATGTGTCAACATTCGGAATGTATCCATCTAAAATTGAAACGAAGGTTTGGAATGCTGCTGCCTCGGAAAACGAAGTTTTATCGAGGACATCACATCCGTTCATTGTAATCTCATCTTTTCTTCAGAGTCGGAGAAGCAAGCTTGGCTTGTCTTTCCTCATGTTAATTGCATTCTAATTTTTTTTGCTTCACATGCGAGGTGTCCGGCATCACTTTGGTTTATAACGCACTTTCTTTCCCTGTTGTTTGGCTCACTTGCGTGACAGAAGTCTTGGAAGTCAGGCAAGTGGAGCTTGATACTGTTCGTTGAGAAAAAAATTTGTGATTATCCTATCAGCTGAGAGTACTGTGAACTTGGCGGGATGCACATAAAACTACTTTGCCACTGTTTATATTGCATAAGCTTTCAACAAGGATCGATGGACTAAAGTGGAGCTTTTCACTTGGCACATCATCAGTGAGATATAGGCTTTTCTTAGTACCCAATAATTTTTTAAAGTGGTACGCACTTTTCTCAAATGGTCTTTCATCATCAGCTTGATTTCATGAATTTATATTTAACTGCTGCTGCGTGGTTCTTTTGCCATCAATGTGGAATGCCGTTCACAAAATCTGTAGCCTGCGTCTAGTCAACTTTCTCTAATTTGGTAAGTATATCAAGTACCTTGATAGTCAGTTTGTGTCACGGTTAAGAAGGGTCTTATTTACCTATAATCCACATTTATTGACTTCGATTCATTATCGATAACCATAATTGTGGTCTTTCAAATTTTGTCCTTTTAAACCATTTCTTCAATTTTTTTTCCTGTGTTTGAATTTTTTCACCTGCTCTAACAAG